CTGTTCTGTTGGTTCAATTTCGGTTCTGTCTTGTTAATTTCGGTTCTGACTTGTTAATTTCTGTTCTGACTTTGTAATTTCTGTTCTGTTAGTTCAATTTCGGTTCTAACTTGGTAATTTCTGTTCTGTTAGTTCAATTTCGGTTCTGACTCGTTAATTTCGGTTCTGACTCGTTAATTTCTGTTCTGTTGGTTCAATTTCGGTTCTAACTTCGTAATTTCTGTTCTGTTAGCTCAATTTCGGTTCCGACTTCTCAATTTCTGTTCTGTTGGTCTAATTTCGGTTCTGATGATGGAACCGGAAATTGCAGGTTCGTCATAATGGAATTTGAAACAGAATATTGGCGGAGATCACCCCTCATACGAATCCTTTACTTCGCGCTACGCCGAAGTAATAATGGCGGTCGGAAAGAAACGTTGAGCGAAAGGGAGGATCGAAGGGAATCAATTGTTTAACGTTTAAACGACCCAGAATGATCACACACGGAGAATTAACAGATTACAGCAATCAAAGAGGTAAGAGATTCTTTATTACCTAATTCAAACTGAACTCCTCTGCTCCCTGTGTTCGAGGTACGAGAACGCAACCCCTAATTTATGTTGGGTCTTCTGTGAATTATTGGGTGTCCTGTGCAATTAATAAGGGAGGTTTTTTTGAGATCGTAGTCTGTTCACAATCCCCTATTTTCCCGTAAGATCGTCGAGATCGAGCGCTTTGCGTTTCGGGCTGCCGTCTTGCATGAGTGTCAAAACTACTTAGGGGCAGGGGACTGTTTGGGAAGAAGTAAGAAAAATAGAGGGACTGTACGGAGCCCAGTTAGTGCCACCTAATTTTTCTCATCAAGTTTCTTTTTCATGAAGTCAGTTTTCTATTGTATTTTTTTGGCACCACTTTTTTTTTCGGCACGACTTTTTCTCCGCCACGACTTTTTGTTTTCGGCACGACCAGGACAGGTCGCCGCTGACCAATATTATTATAGTGGCATGGAGCACATGGTCATCGTATTATCATTTTTAAGAATTTTTTTTTAATTTTTTAATTTTTTAGTTTTTTGAATGAACGCTAGTGAGCAGCACAAAGCAACGCGAGGATCTTGTTTACTTTATTTTATTTCTCCGACCGATTTCGTCTGATCACACAGACTTCATCAGGGAGTATAACAAGATAGATCTAAGGAACTAACTTTATACCTAATGATTAAGACAAAATCACGTTCCTGTAAGGGTGTGAACAGCAAAAAACACCCACAAAATATGCGTGCAGGATATGACTATAATGCTGCGTTACAAAATTTGCAATGTTTAATTTTGGGGCTCACGGATTTAACGTTAAATCCGTGAGCCCCAAAATTAAACATTGCAAATTTTGTAACGCAGGACTTACGTTAAATCCGTGAGCCCCAAAATCCTCGCGTTGCTTTGTGCTGCTCACTAGTGTTGCAACGACTTGCAAGCGAGAATGTTGTCAACGCAAATTAACTTCTGTTGTCTAACGACCAATCAAACGCCTGCGTTGCTGATACAACGCGCTCCGTGAACGCGACCTGCAGTTATGTTATTACAGTCCCTCTATTTTTGTCGCCCCCCCTCCCCCTAGAGCTATAATCCCAGAATTGTGATATTTTTGGCACCGGACAAACAAACACTTTAACTCTACGTTATTTAATAGGAAAAACTTATAAACCAGCCCACAGTAGCACCACTCTCGAGTCACTGAAATCAACACGCTCGACCAAATTACTGGAAAAGTTATTGACGTGAGCCGGACACACATCCCTTTGAATTCAGATGTAAAACCAAACATTATGTTAGGGCATAATGTTATTTATGTCGATACAACATGCCTTTGTGGTCTACATGGTTGGTCTTCCAGAGTCTCAGGGGGGCCGTTTTAAAGTCTTTGCATTCCTGGGCACGTTCTGGCGAGCAGGCCCAACTAGTTTTCGTAACCATTTTCACTTGCACATTTCCTATTTACTTATCTGGTTTTTATTTCAAACCAAGCCGCGTGTGTTATCGCCTTGTGGTTTAGCTGGTTGTTTTGTTTGATTTCCGGCAATTATTTGCCGCATTTTGCTGACCACTTATGGCCAAATTTTGTGGTTTCTGAAACCTTAGAAGTGCACTGTGTGCCTTCCTAATACCGGCTTTGGTATGCATGTTTGTTTGCTTGCAGTTACTATGTTATGAGTTTACAATCTATTTTGACCGCCTGCATATGTGGGTGTGTCCAATGCGCTTGGTATACTGTCAATGCTCTAATGTTATTGTGTTGTGGAAATGGGTATCTTTTTTCGTTACTACTTATGAGGTATAAGCCTCACTATTTTTTTGTGTCAATTTTTGAACTCGAGTCATTATGTAAATTCAAATACCTGCTTTGGATCGGCTCCTCTGATGACCCCCTTTTTCTAATTTATTTGACATTAAAACTTATTTCTAAAACTTGTTTCACTGCCTATCACATCTATCACTTATAGTTAGTTTTTTATCATTGAAAAATGCCTCCTGCGAAGCGTACCACCGCCCCACAAGCCAGGCGCTCGAAACGGCTACAAGCAGACCTCTCTGAGGCCGGACCTTCGTCGGTTGCGGAGAATCCTCCCATGCCTCAGCAGCAAACTGGACAAGGGGGAGAAATACAAGGAGGACAAGGAGCGATGCAGCTGGACGTGCGGGCTCTTACAAGTACCATTTCCTTGGCCGTGGCACAGGCCGTAAAGGATGCAATGGCTGCGCATCAAGCTACCGTCTCCAGTACGGTAACGCCAACGCCGTCAGCCGCAGTAGAGCAGGTTGTACAAAACGAAGTCCTCTCATATACAACAGGTACAACTAAACAGGCACTCCTACCAGCATTGCTTGGGGTGGGCGATCAGCCGCGGCCTAGCCACCCCTTCTCTAGCATAGCTGTTAATCTAGGTTCTCGTGTGAGCGCTAAAATCAAAGCGAAAATCTGGGCAAATGAATATACTGACTTTGGAGCACTGCTCTCTATCGCACCCTCGAGAAAAGTTTGCTCTTTCCATGGTTTCCAGTGGGGGTGCTGTAAATCAACCACAGTTAACTCTCGAGCCTTACATACACCGAAAAAGGTCACTAATATCAGCCAGTGGCTCACCGCTTTTAACACGTTTGTATCCATTTATTCCGTAAAATGTTCCCAGGATGCCCCTAAGCTAATGAAATAATGCGAAGTGGTGCGCGACCTTGCTAATAAGTCTGGGGACTCGATTTACTATGATGAGCAGTTTCGTTATTTGCGACAATCGTCCCCAGAACTTTACCCGTGGGATCAAATTCATGAGGAGCTATGGCTACGTGCCATGACTAATTTTCGGGCTAAATCACAATCTTTCACCGGTAGTGATAGAACAACCCCGCGGGGGCGATTTCGAACCTCCACTCCCCCCTTTCCTAGGGGAACCTGTTGGTCATTTCATTCAGGGAGGCACTGCCGAGGTGGCCAATACGAGCACGTGTGCTTCAAGTGCGGTGCGAAACATCCCGCCACCCAGTACCAAAACCAAAACTCCCAACTGCGAACAAATCCCATTAAGTCCGGAGCATCAATTTCAGCTCAGCCTTTGGGGCAATTCCCTAGTAATTCCCGTAAGAGTGGACCGGTTTGCACAGCTCCTTGCGGGCTACGACCGAACCCTAAAACAATATTTAATCAATGGTTTCCGTTTCGGTTTTCGAATTAATTTCATAGGACAAATTACTTCATTTGAGGCCCCCAATTTAAAAAGTGCTCTGCAAAATCCGGACATTCTATTTTCGAAACTATCTAAAGAACTTGATGCTTGAAGAATTGCGGGACCTTTTGACACCGCACCCTTTCCTGTTTTTCGTACATCGCCCATTGGCATAGTTCCCAAAAAGGTTCCAAATGAGTTTAGGCTAATCCACCATCTATCATATCCCAAAGGCTTATCTATTAACGATAGCATTCCGGATGACTGCTCTTCCGTACAATATGCCACGAGTAATGACGCCGTTAAAAAATTCTTCAACGACTGGGGCCGGGTTCTTACTTAGCAAAAACGGATATTAAGTCAGCTTTCAGGATCATCCCAGTGAGTCCTCTTGACTATCCTCTACTTGGCATAAAATGGGACAATCAGTATTATTTGACAGGTGTTTAGCTATGGGGTTAAAATCGAGTTGTGCTATTTTTTGAAAAATTTAGTACTTCCTTAGAGTGGCTAGCAGTCCACCACTTGAAGGTGTCTGCGGTCTTGCATATCTTAGACGACGTTTTATTTATCGCGCATAGTCATGACAAATGCAAAGCCGATCTTTCTAATTTTTTGAGTATGTGTGACTTCCTCGGTGTGCCTTTTGCACATGAGAAAACGTTAGGTCCCCTCACCACTCTTCAGTTTGGGGGAATTGAATTAGATTCTGTAAGGCAAGAAGCCAGGTTACCTTCAGAAAAGATTCACAAATGTCGCGCCCTGCTTCACCAATTTGCGCACAAAAGATCAGTCTCATTGCGCGAGCTACAGTCGTTAATTGGGCTATTAAACTTCTGTTGTTCCGTGGTCACTCCAGGACGCGTCTTTTTGCGTCGACTAATCGATCTTACCGCGGGCGTCACACACCCCCACTATCACATCCATCTCAACACCGAAGCTAAAAATGACATCCGAATGCCATCAGAACCTCGAGCTCATCATAGTGTATCAGTTTAACACCGAACTTTCTCACTGCCTAACTTTTTGTGGCCTCTATACTAAGAAATACAAGGGACATAGCTTTCGCATTGGTGCCGCGTCTCATGCGGCCGATAAAGGTTTCTTGGACGCTCAAATTCGCACTCTCGGTCGCTGAGAATCCGATGTTTTTAAGTCGTACATTCGTTCTGAAAGCTTACATGCAAATTAATAGTATGTAGGTCACGCACCATCCGGTAGTGTTCTTTGGCCGGGGAACAAATGGGTCAGACTTGCTGCTGCCAATTGTTCTGCCCTTACTAATGATTACTATTATAATAAAAGGCTGATATTATGCTAAGATAGGTTTCGTGAATCAGTGATGGGTCAGACATGTGGCTGCCATCTGTTGTTTGCCGTTCCCGGTTATCTTGGATGACTACTTCATGCTATGAATCTTACATTTATAATACACCATCTGATGGGCTCCGTGGGTCAGTCCTGGGCTGCCATTGGACCCCCTCATTTTAATTTTCCACAATCTTACTCTTTCCACCGTTGGAGCCAAAGGTCAGACATGGGGCTGCTTTTGCTCTATATTTCATGTTATTTCATGCTACATGGGTAACAAGAAATACAAAGGTACTCGCAAATATAAATTAATCAATACAACATTATGTATTATACAGTAAGTTTCAACGCGTTCAAACTTGCTATAGGTCAGTCTGGTGGCTGCTATGGCTTTTCTGCGTTTCTGAGGTTTTTTTAGGCACATGTGCCTACTCGATGATTATTTATTCCGTGAGCTCTCATTGTCGTTTTGGTGGGGCTGCCACATTTTTGTGGCTTTTGGCGAATTTCTTGCCCCACCTTTGCTGAAAATAACATAGATTATTTAGTATTATTGTTGTGAACTAGTGCGTCTGTTTTATAATCAATTAAACTGCCACTCAGACAAGTGGCCAAATAACGCCAACACTCGAGTGGCTTCTCTGTCTGTGGTACTGTAGCGGAAAAATAGCGTCACTTCAATGAGAGCTCCCGAACTAACTTTTAGGGTATCGGCATAAAAGCTTTCAAGACAGTAAATTCAATGTAATTCATTTTGTCAACAAGTTGATGATTGGACGCTCTTAAAAAGTAACAGAGAAAATAATCCGAAGAAATGTTTTTGAAGAAAGAAAGAGAATCCCGGGTTAAGCACTAATCGGCCTTTGAGCAACTGCGTCCTGTAACTCGCGCCAGTAAAACAAAATGTTCTATAAGGAGCGGTTGTCGGGGGGCCGAGCCTGGTCTTTTGTCGAAAGCATGAGGCAGGCAAAACTAGAATCCGTTCACACAAATTCCCATGCATAACCAACCAAAGCTGGTTGGCGCCCATTCAGCAGAAAAAATAATTCTGCATGCGCCGCTGTTGAAATGGTATCTTCACCACACAGCGGTGCATAGAACAATTCACTATGTGCCTCAAAAGGCTTTTAAGTGGTTTGTGAAGAAAGTCACGGAAAACAGGCGCAAGGGTGACCAAAATACCGAGCTAGCGCTGTTGGCAGAGGTATTTAAGTTGTTAGGCAACAGTGTATATGGCAAGCTGACCTAAGCCTTGGAAAGGCACATGACAGTGAAGTACACAACAGGCGAGAGCGTCTTGCGGAAAGAGCTGCACTTGGCGTGGTTTCAAGATCTGGAGGAGTTTGGCGACGTGTACGAAATCGAGACGAGAAAGCGCAAAGTGGACATCGACCGGCCCTTCCAGGTAGGGATAGCGGTCTACCATATGGCCAAGCTCGGGGTTCTGCAGTTCTATTACAACTGTTTGGACAAAGTCTTAGACAGGCGTGATTTTGAGCTGATTCAGATGGACAGTGACAGTTTGTATTTTACGTTATCATGTGATTCGTTAGAAGAAGCAGTGCGCCCGAAGTTGCGGGAGGAGTTCCAAAAATGCAAAAAAAGAATGGTTTGGTTGGAACAAATGGATTGAACGCGAACCCGGGCTGTTTAAGCTCAAGTTTGACGGCACTCGCATGATTGCCTTGTGGAGCAAGTGTTATTACGGACAGGAGGAAAAATGCAAGATGAAAGCGTCCTCAAAAGCAGTGCAAAAACGACAAAACAAATTGCACTAAGACTGGTACAACGAAGCGCTGGAAGGGAAACGTGGATACCGCCACAAACAGAGGTATGAGAATGAACAAAGGAATGATGTGCATCTATGAGCAAAAAAAAGCTGGGGCTGAGCGCGTACTACGGCAAACGCTCGGTTCTGGAGGACGACATCCACACGGAGCCGATAGAGTTTCACATGGAGGTGGAGAAGTTGGAGCGGGAGCTATGGGAGATGCCATGAGGGAGACGGCATCTCGGTGTCGGCAGGCACGACAAGAAGACCCTCGGAAACAAAGCTACGCTTGGGGCCGTTCTGCAAATAATACAAAATCGGTTCATTTGGGCTTGGTGATTGGTTTTTCGATGTGGTACACTTTCAAAGACCAGATCGGATCTGTGGCTCTTTTCCTTCCGCCCTCAAGCTCACCGGGTTGGTAGAGATAGCGAAAAACCGTCGAGGAAGGGATCCACTTTTCACGCACGCCAACAGGTCTGACGCAAGAAGTCGCAGGCTTGGAATAAACGGCTTTTTCTTTGATGGCTTCACCAGGCTTCTTGCCGGTTACCCAAATGGAGACCACGTCGGGAAGCCACACCACCCATTCGGAAGGACTTTGGCCCATGGGCAGCCTCATTTCGACTGCATACTGGTTCCCGAACAGGCGCGAAGCAAGGATGCGGTTGAATCTTTCGACGATGGCCTGGTCGCGGTGAATATCCACCCTCCCGCCTCGAATGTTTGATGTGTGTTTTCGATCTCTTTGGTGACACCACCCTCGAATTCGCATTCATGGTCCACTTGCAAAAGCTGTGGCTATTTCAAAGACCCGCGTTTGTAAATTTTCTGAAAAGCGCTTGATACCTTAGCCTATTCTTTCGAGGTCAAGAGTTCAGCCTCTTTGAAACGGCTGGCCACATCGGCGATGGTCAAATCGTATTTGTATGTTTTTCGGTCCCGGCCATCCCCCACGGTGTCGTGAGGAAGAAAAAGGAGGTCTGCCTGGTGAACTGCGTTTGGCGTGGGCACATCGAATTTGGGGCGAGCAATGTTTTCTGGCGCAAGAAGATAGATTTGCCAAAGGGCTTGGCGTATCAGCCATTTGTTGCGCCGTTTTCGGAAACTTTTGCAGCAGCGGCGAGCGTTTCCAGTAGCCTTGAGGGCTGTAGTAAATTTTGGAAAGCTTAGCGTCCATGTTATATTAAAAATATGAAAAAAGATAGAAATGGATTGTGACTGGCACACCAAATACGTGCCCGTTAATGCCTTGGGTTCGCGGCCTGGCCGCAGGACACGCTACCACCTAAGATGCAAAAAAATGTTTGTTTTGAAAAGTTTTGCACGATTTCCTTGGCTGCAGGAGATTTTATAAAAATCGAAAAGCAACGTATCCGAGCACAAGAGCGCCAGTGCTGAAAAAATCAACTCGCCTTGTTTTTGCAGAGAGCTGGGCCGGTAGAAGTCAGAGAACTTTGGTTCGCTGGGGGCGGTGAGTGGCTCATCTTGGTCCATCCTGTTGTAAAGCTTGAAGGCCTAGTCAGTGTTTGTGAAGTTTTGTTTTGCCAGTTCTTTGCTTTAGTGCTACTTTTCGATTCAGTCAAGCAGCTTTGTGCGTTCTTTCTGGTATTTGGCATAAGAGGCTTGGTTAGCCTCCAGAGCCTCGTCGTGTCTTTTTTTTCTTCGAGGGAAGCCTTTAGGTCATCACCAGAAAGAAAACAGGCCAGATAATTGCCGCCACAGCGTTCAGAACACCGCGACCAGCCATCATTGCAACACTTGCCATGCTATATAAAAGCTTAGAAGTTTTTTGGGGAGGGTTTTTTATTATCTATGCACTGCTTCAGAGTGAAAGCGGCAGACATAACGATTGTAAACTTTACGTAGTTCATGGCACTGCCGCTGGGATCCGCTGTGAGGTTTTCTTTTACGATTTTTTTCAAAGCCCAGTCAAGGCCGGCTTCCATCGAGAATGGTTTCGACGAGCCAATTATCGGTCATAGTATATATTTATGTGAAAAATTATTCCTCACCTGGGATATTTACCCGGTTTAATGTCAAATCGAGGTGGTCGAAAAATATCTGTGATATAGTATTGTACAGTGAGTGGGTTGGAAATGTTTGGAAATCTCCACAGGCCGTAAAGCATCGCAGTTTTGACCAACTTGTTGTCGGATATGGTTGTTATTATGTAAAAAAATTCAATCCATTAGGCTTTGGCTTTGGTTCTGGTTCTGGATCAGGCTTGCTCATCCTCGGAGACCCAGTGGCAGTCAGTCGGGCCGGGAGAAAAGACACGACGAAAGTTTTCAGGCTCAGGCGGAAGAGCTCCTGGGTACCGACTCTCACAGGACCACTTCCAAACGGTCAAGCAAATGCTGGCTCCTAATTGGGCACAAAAACTGCTTTGTATTATTGTGCCCAATCGCCGAACAGTTTCTTTTGAGTTTTATTTCGTGAGTTCGTACACGGCGGCTATTATCTCGCCACAGTTGCCCGGTTCGTTCACCAAGCTTTCCTAACCAGAAACGAAGGAACTGTCGATAAGTCTAAAAACGTTCCGGATGCTATCAGAAGGAACAATTCAATTTGCACTGATAAAACTCTATTTTTGACGGATCACAATGTATCGTAAATAACAGGAAATTTAAGATGCAGCGGCGACGATAAGTAAAAAAAGCAATAGCTTGACAAGGCAAAACAACAACTTTGCACGTGCATTACTCTTTTCGTATATTTGTTTGCCGTGACTGTACGACTACCGTGTGAAAATGCCTAATTTCACGTTTTGTGAAGGACGTAAACAAGCAATGACAAAATTTTCTTTCTCTTTATGAACTTGGATATGGTTGATGGAAATTCAGCTCCAGAAGAGTTCGCTTGCATTTGACAAAGTAAACCAGTTGGAATAATCACGATAGAGGCTACAAAAAATGTGAATTCACTTTTTATGCGACGTTTTCGTGGCTGTCAGCTGTCGTGGCATCTTTTAAAACTCCCTATTATTTACGAAGGCGTGATTGATGTAAGCGTGAATACTTGTTGTAAGCTCAAGATTGTATTTTTGGAAAAGCGTCTTTAGTTTGTGGGTAGACAGCATTTTGAAATGGAAAGGCACAATAATACAAAGCAGTTTTTGTGCCCAATCAGGAGCCAGCATTCGCTTGACCGTTTGGAAATTAAATTGTCCGGTGAGAGTCGGTACCCAGGGGCTTTTCCGCCTGTGCTTGAAAACTTTCGTCGCGCCTTTTCTCTCGGTCCGACTAACAGCCCCTGGGTCTCCGAGGATGAGGCTCGCTGGGTGCCGGGTCCTTCTGTTAATAAACGCGCAGTGCGGAGACAGCCAGGCCTCCGACGCCAATAAAGCAAATAGCCGTTGACTCCGCCGCTTGGGTTCTCTGGCTCCTTTTTTTCGTCAGCGGGGGTTTCTGGCGGTCTTTGGTTCTTTTTTGCCTCACGTGCCAAGCGATTTCGTTCGGGTAACTTTTTGCCAGCCGGAACTCGCCCAGGGTTTTTTGCTGGTCTTGTCTTAGATTCTTTTGACAAAACGGGCTCTTGAACTTGAGGCGTATGGGCAGGTGCCGCAGCAGGTGCATCCGATTTCCAAACCATGTATATAAAATGTGGAAAATTTTCACAGGTTCTTTGTCAGCTTCTTTGCAAGATTCTTGTTCAGGTTCTTTGACAGGTTCCTTTGCAGGTTCCTTGTCAGGTTCCTTTTCAAACTCGATGTGCTTGGCTGTGATCAGAGTGGTATTGGCAGCCTCAAGTTGGCGGCCGCAACCCAGTGCTATATTTCCAGCCACAGACGACAAGTTCGAGTTAATCACAAAATCTTTTTGGAGGTCCTTTTGCAAAGCTTCCACGTCATTCACTTTCACGACCATATCGATAGCCTTGCTGGCAAGCTTAAAAAAGCTTTGAATCAACGTTTCGGTGGTCTTGCTGTCCACGTAGGCCCCATATCTTTTGTAAAATTGCTCCACAGGCTTTTCACCTGTTCATGAGAAAGCTGGGTCCGAGCGCATCTTTTGTTTTGCTTGTGGAAACAAGCGCAGCCAGCTTTTCGCGTTGTTCGGGAATGTTGACAGCGAGCGCAACAGGATAATATGAGGGTTTCGAGCTGTCGGGAGAGGCGTCCAGCATTTGCATGACTACGTTGAGAGCATCCTGTTCAGACATTGCGAATATATTAACTCAAAATAAAATTTCGATTCCAAAAGGGTGGCGCGGGGCGAAGACCAGATAGGAAAATTTTCTGTTTTTAGCTCTGCCATCAGTTCCTTGTACTCTTCCGGGGAAAGCTCTCCGGCATGGTCGTCAAAGATGACTTTCCTGGTTTTGCCCGACGGAGTGTAAAACAGAACGATGGCAGCCACGTTTTCACGGAATGGTTTGAAATGTTGGTGATCTGCTGTGTCAAAACCCTAACGCTGATGCCTGCGTGGCGGGCTGAACAGCCGAGAGAAACCAGCTGACCAGTGCGTCCTTTCACGTCCTTCGAGGGAGCGCAATCGTCCAAAACAATCAGTGTGTTTGTTACCTGGAAAATATAGCTGCTCAGCTTAAGCCAGAGTTCGACCTCTTCCTGCTGGCAGTTGATGACAAAAATTTCGCGAATTGTGATCCACAAACCTGTCGTAGGTTTTTTTTGAGGACACAGGTGGGGCATATCAACACCATGTGGTCAAACTTCCCTCGAAAAGGGCCCCGCAGGAGACGCACAAGATATTGGCTTCTGCCAGAGTTTGTCGGCCCCACGATCAAGGCGATAAACGGAATGTTTTTTGGGTCCATGTTTTCTAAAACTGCACAGACTGGAGCTGTTTCTCCATGATGTTCATTTGAGAAACGCTGATGATGAAAACGTTGCATTTCACGTTTCCCGAGCCAGACACCTTTCTGTAGATCTTAAGGAACACACTGTCTGTGGTGTTAACAAGACGGACGCCACTGCCATGCATTTTGGTGTCCGCCATGGAGCGAAGGTCGATAAACAACCTTAACTTCTTGTCTGCGTAAAACCTTATAAGGTCCATTTTGCTGGGAACTTCTTTGGGCTGAAAGTATAGGCTGATCTCCAGCCACAGATTCTTCGCATCGATGCCGTTGTTGTAGATCTTGATGGGCGAGCCGTTCACCGTGACGCTCACTTTGGTGATGTCAGGGTTAATGTATTTTTCCGAGACTAGGGCGCCGGCGGGCATAGGGTTCGATAAAGAGCAGAAGAATGCCATTGAGTGCCCGGCGCTGAGGGTTCAATCTGATGTTGAGCCAGCTGTCCGTGGATTTTGCAAATGTCATCACCTCTTCTCGCATGATATGATCGTATGCGAACTCCTTGCTGCTGTTGTACACGCTGGTTGCCTCTTTTCCCAATGTATTGCTGCGGATGGTCCCATACTCCAACTGAATGTTTATAAGCTTGTAGACCAGCTTTGACGCGTCTGAGCCTTTCAAAAACTGCGAAGCTGACGCAAGTGTCAGTTGGAAAACAAGATCGTTGTAGAGGGCCTGTGGGTAGAAAACCCCGTGATCGTCCAGAACAGAGTGATCCAACCGGATGCGGTAGTTGTTGCCAAAAACTGCGTCGAGGGCTTTTTCAGCATCCACGCCCGTTACTTTGTCGCCGGCGTTCGAGCGAAGCTTTGAAAGTTTTTTGGTTTGAATCCCTCCCATCTGCATCTTGTTTTCGCGCACGTGCAGTAGAGAAGGAAAAGATTCTCGAAAATTTTGTAATTGTCATAGCCAGGTGTGTCTTGCAGAGTGGTGCCCTCGAAGATTACAGTAAACTTGTCCACTAGAGCTCTCAAGACATTCTGGACGAGAAAGATGTTTGCGTGGCCGCCGGTCAGGTCGATGTTGAAAAGCAGCGCCAGAGAACCTGGCACGATGACTTCATTTGCGTTCAGTTTGGGTACGTGGACGTAAAGCGTCTCGCCTGGGTTTGCCTCACTGGGGGTAAACGTGATGCCCTTCACAATGCGCTCGGCCTTCATCGCCCGGAGGGTTTTTTCGCTGTTCGTTGGTAGATGGCGACACAACTCAATAGTTTCAACCGGTGGACGCTTCAACACCTGACCCTCCTGTGAAAGCTACCTCATGACAACGAGGAATAGTCCGCCAGAGCAAGGCGAAGGAACCGCAGAAACGTCTTTCACTGAGCCAGGATCTGGGACAGTTATAAACCTCAACAGCGTAAAAAAGCATCGAGAAATGAAACTTTTATACAAAAATACTCTGAATATGGCAAAGACGGCATATTCCTTACCCTTCACGTTTCAATAGGGGAAAAAGTTCCAAAAGGAAAACTTGTGTTTATTGGCCTTAAAGGAGGCAAAACTGCACTTTTCACGGAAGATGGAGAGAAGAGATAAATCCCAAATCCCCAAGATCAAATTCTGAACTTGACAGAGAAATCCAACAAGTTCTGGAAATTGCAAATGACGAAAATAAAACATCCGTTAACCATTAAAAAGCTCGTGAAAATGCTGCGAAAAAATGCAACAGGAGGACCCGCTTCTCAATGAGAAAGAACGCCTTGAAGAAGGGCTTTCGCTACTTGAACGCATCAAAGAGATCCTCAAAAAATTTGGCATCACTGTCACTGCCACTGTTCTTGCAGCCGGGACTGTCATTGACGCTGTTATAGGGGCGATAACAAACGCCCTTAAAAAACATTTGGCAAGGGCATGGGAAAAGGTCTGAAGGAGACTGGCAAAAAACAGCGTCCAATTTTCCCAGCCTCATCGGCTCGATCGTGAGCTTTATTTTCAAAACTGTGGGACAGGCCATCCCCTTTCTGCCGGAACACACTTGGCTGTTGATTGTTACTGCAGTCGCTTTTCTGTTGGAACGGTTCATCATCAACAACAACAGTTTATTCAGTTGTCAAATAATGTAAGTCTATGTTACCCACAATTAGCGGAGCTATTCTAGGTGGGCAACAATACAATAATTGTCTCCTATTGAGTCGGCAAAAGGACGTAAGTAAAGAGAAAGCAAAAATAAAATGAAATAAATAAATAAATAAATAAAAGGTATCACCTATAGGTATAAAGAAGGAAAACGCTTTAACTGAATAAGGAGTTCAGGTTGAATGGTACTCATATCAACATAAACCTTGTTAGTCTCCAAAACCTTGATCAGTAATTTATGTAATTTACGCTTGAGTCTTTGCGCTGATCACGTAACGTAAGAGGAATTTTGTTCCAAATTCTTACACCCCTTCTGGAAAAAGATAATAAAAGCTGATTGAGTCTAGATCAGTCTGGACACAAAAATTATCTGCGGCAGAAAATCTGGTTTAATGAGGGTGGATCATGTTAGAACGGACTAACAATTCAGAAATTTTAGAATCAACCGCTTCCAAACCACCAGACCTGTCAAAAGACGTGCGCCCACAACAATTAATAAGCTCCTTGTTTATGTCGTGGCTTGTGGTGGCTGGTGCTGGATCGGGTGGAGAGGAGGTGGTGGGAGAAGGGGGCGCCTCCTTTTTCTGCTTATTAATGCCTCGTGGATTGGATTCGAAGGATGGCTGTTTGGCGGGTTAATTTTTGACGTACCTCCGTCCATGAGACGAAGCCCCACTTTTTTGTCTCTGTGTTTACGTCGTTGTTTATGGCGAGCTTTATGTCTGCTGTTGCCTGCATGATTTTGTTGTTGTAGCCGGCCACTGTTTCTGTGTTAATCACCATTCTCGTAGACATCATGCAGCCCACCCCCGGGTATCACCGCAAAATTCACACGCGGCTTTGTTTCGTCCAAAGCCAGTTGGTATCGCTGCACACTCTTGGCCAGGTCTGGCTGCTTGATGGCGTTTTCAACCAATGCGAGAAACTCGCTCTGTGCTTCGTTAGCGCGGCCACCATCACTGATAATGGTGCTACGCATATTAACTTGAGCCCCGAGTATGCTGTTCAGGAAGGCCTTGATTGACTAATTCAAACGTGACTGTCCTGCCTGCGAGAGCCCGCCCGCCTTGTCGGGTACAAAGTAATCAAACTGATGGTCTTTGTTTCAGTCATTCAGTCATAAAACCGACCAATTTTCCCTGACTGGCTTTGTCCCCTTCATCGGCAAACTTGCCGTGCAAGCTGCGATAGCCCATACCTGTGAATGTTGGGCCATTTCTGGAAACATAAATGAAAACATTCCCAAGCCCATGGTTTGCGCCGTGCGTGAAACGAAAGTCTGTAGTTGGGTGTACTCCAAACTCCAAACTCGGCGCAAATTCTCTTGTGCCAGGGGATGTCGTATGGGTTGTTTGTTTGACTTGTTTTGCTGAACGTCGGGTCCCCAGGCAAAGAGCTCACGCTTTGGATGCCACCTATTTCGAAAACGATTTGTCTTTCGTGAAATATACGTGAAACCTGAAAAAGGCTCTTATCTGGGGATCAGCTGCATTATCAAGCAAAATGTTGTAGAAGGCCTAAATGTAATAAACGACCCTAAATGTAATAAAGTCCTTAATGTAAAAACATTTTGTCCTAAACGTAATAAAGTCCTAAATGTAGTAACAACTTGCCCTAAATGTAATAAACTCTTAAGTTGCCAATTACAGTAATCAGACTCGAATGTGTCGCCCTCAAATAAGCGCCGCATTTGAGGGGGGAGTTAATTAGTATTCGTGTAAATACGGTACTAAGCGGTATTACTATGGTATTAAGCACGATTTTAGAGAAAAATAATAAGCGCCGCGGCGCTAATTCGCGTAAATTCGGTACATTTCCTTACGCACTGTGAAACTTAACGTTTACAAATAAATTGCTTCTAAACGACAAAAAGTAACAGTATTTTTCTAAAAAAGCAATATTTATTTCGAGACAGTTATGCAAACCCTCCACTTCGTCTCGGGTTTGCATAAGTGTTAAGAATTCTCCCAACCCCTCGGGTGTTTATATCAGGCTATGCAAACACTGGAAAAAAATGTTTTCTATTGCTTTTATAAAATAACTTTCCCGATAAAGAAGAAAAACTCTTTGTTTAGGTTACTGATTAAAAGAGAAATTCTTACCAGTCGCGAAGTCTTGTACACGAAGCTTAATGTACGTGTAATCAGTTCTTGTTTTGCAATAACGATGCTTTCCAAAAAAGGGTTTTTTCGCTTAAAATGTCAGCTTAAGCGAAAAAAAAATTGGCACAACATGTTTGTAAAGATGTTCCTAGGCGTACGGGAAATTTTTTGCCGGGGGGTAAACCATTTGCCCAAAAAAATCTCGCAAGTTGCCCAAATTTTTACGAAAGAGTAGAAAAGAAATGAGGGCCATATTGCAACAACATAGGCCGTCCTGGCATTTGAAGGTGGCTCGATACAGTTTTTCAGGGTCAACACCAAGTCTGAGCATAAACTACGTCACCATAAACGAACATTTGGAAAAATTGTGACCACAGTTGTATTAAGATGAAAATTTGTCATCATCAGGGTTGCAATTACATCGGAGTTGTCATAGCAACGAAATGACTCCATTTTTACTTCAGCAATGATTCTCAGCACGGGAACATTACAAAATCGTTCACAGGAGCTTTTTTTTCCAATACGGTCGCCTCGATGTTTGTGAAGTTTAAGAAGAACCTTAAGAGCGTTATTAGAAATACGGTAAGAAAAGGAAAATCTTGATTATTGGCCGTTATCTGTAGAAAACGAAGCGCTTTTGACCTGCTGTTTCACCTCATAGTAGTTTTAATCTTTTTAACGACATGTGTGAAAGATCGTGGAGATACGTAGCCCTGCTTGATTGCTAGAATCGAAAGAAGGATTTCATTAGTATGTATCGAGACACTCTTGTTAGCGGTTTTGTAAACATTTCGGTCTACTTTAACAAATCAGCGAATAATTTAAACCGCTTGATAGATTTTTTAAAACAATTAAGATTCTTCTCGTAATTCAAACTGAGAATTAGTCAGTCACTTCTTCATTTTCATACCCATTGTAGCCTGCGTAGCAAGCGTTTCCAGTCGAACTCGCGCGGAAACGCTTGCCTTGCAGGCTATACCCATTGCTGTTATCTGCCATACACTGTTCTTCGAGTGGAGCTGATTCTAGAAAGTTATGCGAAAGTTTATTTTAATCAATTCACGACTGGAAATAGCCCATTCCAGCTAGTGCACAGTGCAGTATAGTGGCCAACAAAAAAAGAAAACTGCAAATATGTAAATTACTCATCACATGCTAGGCAACCACTGATGAACTGGATTATTACGCCGACTTAAGGTTAATATTCAGGTCTTTAAAATAATTAAATAAACATGAAGACGTCTTTAAAACCTGGCTTTGCCCAAATTTTCTCTCGCTGCCCAAAAAATTTGAGTTGCCCAAAATTTGGGGGGGCTGCAGCCCTCCTCGCCCCCCGGCCCGTACGCCTATGAAGATGTTCCAAGTTTCATCCGACGACGGAATGGGTAAATAAAGTAAATTTGTCGAGTTTTCAACTGTGTGATTAGCGCGCGAAGAGCAAAACATCTTGACCCCACACATGTTTACATACTCTCATGCAAACACATCTCTCGGCCAATCAGAGCGCGCGCGTACTATCTTAGTTATTTATAAACGTTGTTGTCAGCTGTACAACTTCTCGTTTTTTGTTCTTAATATTTTAGCTGCATGATTAGATCTCTTTTCTAGAGATCCAACGTTGACAAGCAACAGGATCTTCGTCCACGGTTTTTGCAGTAAATTTCTTTAACAAAAATGAAGTAAGAAAAACTTTTTGAGGCATAGTTTTTTTTTTCATTTTGTCCCACAGCAAGAAATATGGTATTCACCGTCTCGGAAAACCCTCGGCTAATTTCCGAAAACGCGGCATTTTGCTAAAATTCTCTCGCGTTTTCCGGTCGTAAAATCCACTCTTTTTCTGTCGTTTTCTGGCCGGTCGTTCCATTATCCGATAGTTTTCAGGCTCAGTTAACACCAGGAAAACGCTTGTTTTACTGGTGTCAACCGGACCGTTAACGCACGGCTAATACGTGCAAAACACGCGGAAAACATACGGTTAACACATGAGGAACGGATCGTATTCCGTTGTTCGCCGCCGTTTTCCATTGACTTAACATCGCGTTTTTTGGTGTTTTCAAGTGGCAAAACAAAGAATTCACAGACGCTTTCCGTCATTCTGCGTGAGTTTTGTCGGGTTTTCTGGGGCAGCGAACAACTAGAAAATGCCGGGAAACAGCATGTTCCCCAACGTTCACCTATCGGATAATGAAATGTTTTCCGTCGTTGCAAAACTTTTTTCTCCAGGAAAACACGCCGTTTTCAGTATCGAATGCGCTTATTTTCGCGCATCTTCTGCGTTTCCAGTGTGATCTTATGCGGGAATGTAACTTAGTCCTTTATTCACTGGTGTTTTCGTTCAAAATTTAACATTCGTTGTTGCAGTTTTGTTTTTCCCGGCACCCGCCATAGGTGCTTTAAACGACAAATAAGTACTTCGATTCTCTCCCCGATATCCCTCAATGGAAACAAGTAATGAAAAGCTCTCAATGTACTTCTGAACTCTTTTATTATCAGCAACTCAACTCATCGTCTGCAGTACAGAATGCCTCTAATTGGTTATGAACACTCCACAGCAAACTAAAACTACCGTTTATAAAAATGCATTCAATCACAGACAAGATATTCACAAAATTCTATGCTATCAAATGAATATGGTCAGTACAATTCAGAAAACTCTTGACAATATATCTATTGATAACCAACTGACCCAAATAAGAACAGTCGGGAGATATCGATGCTAACTTGGCATGTACAGATTACCGGTAATTTCAGTCAACATTCCACTTACATACAAATTGTTTTCTGTAGTAAAGTTTCTATTTATACTCAAAATTCTATTCAATACGAGCACACATTGACTTAAATACAATACTGTTTCCAAGGTCAAAATGAAGTTGATCCACTCCTCAGTTTAATGAGTCCATGTGTGCTCGTATTGAGGGGAATTTTGAGTGTATTTCCTTTAAGGATGAACACTCTCTCGGTTTGCACACTGTTGAAGAAATTTCAAGTGCCATATTTGTTCTGAAATAAATCTTGAAACAAGGTTTTCCCTGATTTACTTTTAAAAATGTATTGAAGCTCCACTGTTATCAAGCATTGAAAAATGAAAAGAACTACAATTTAATGGCCCAGAGCAATGACTCAGGAACTTCATTACGGCCTCTTGTACTTGGAGGACCAACCCTTCTGTTAACAGATTGCCTTTTTTGCTGGTTGGACATACGTCTTCTATAGCGAGAGTCCAAATTGTGAAAAAAACATGGAAACCTCCTGTGATCTCCACTCTAGGAGCCTTGTTCTGAGAACATCACCCTCCTCATCTGACTAATCGGACGAAATCAAGGCTGAATGTAGGGCTTCTAAAACTGGCATCTTCTTCTCATCTTCTGTAACCACTTTTAGTCTTTTCTCAAGTTTCTGGGTAAAATATATGGAAATCAACTAATTTTGATAGATTTGTTTTCAACTTTCAGAGCATCTGTAGTCAAGAGAAATATTCTCATTGAAAAACCAGTAGTGGTTACTGATCTGTAGCTGTCACATTTAGTGAAGCTTAATTCTTTTCCCTTTAATTAAATTATTCACAAATGCTACCAACTGAGTGATGCCACTGGATTGTATTCTATCCCTGGAATCCCTTCTTCAAAACAACAACAATGCTGTTTGAATATACATGTGATGTACAGCTAGCTATATACTTGTGGAGTCAGATAACTCGTGATTAATTGATCACAAAAGTGTTGTTAGGTGGGTATTAAGGCTGATAATTTACATAATCCAAGTTCAAGAGTTTTGTAAGAAGGTTGAACTGCTTTTTTATATCACTCTGTAATCATTATTGTGCTGGCCCCATGAATAAATTTTTGACAAGCTTACAAGCGCTGACTCAATAAGTCGTCATTATTGCACAACTGTTTCATGGTTACATTAGGTAAGTCCAATTTTGGTCAATTGCAACAAAGGAGATACTTTAAGATAAGATAAAGGATAGTAAATTTTCAATCAAACAGTTTGGTGTGGATTTGGGGTTAGATTAATGGTGTTATGTTTTTTTGGAAGCAGCTCACAAGGAAACAAGCAAATGCTTATAGCCTAGTAGTCGCTATTTTGTGATGAATATATTTGTTGTTATCCCTTGTTGGGCATCCCACAGGTGGGATGAACAACAAAAAATAAACACTGGTACATCACAAAATAACGTAGGCTACAAGTGTCTGCTTGTTTCCTTGTGATTGGCCACCATAAAATAGGTGACAATGCAGTCCAAAAAACTAATCTCACCCCAGAACCACAACGAACCTTTGGAGTGAAAA